GTCAAATGAACAGACAGCATAGGGTGAGGTCTGCGAGTGTACAAAATGTAGAACTTCTGTACTCTTTCCTCATGGAGTGGGGTCCTGTCAACTCCCCAGCACACCAATGCATTCTCAAGTCATGAAATACAGCTAAGACTCGCAGTCAAGATCCATCATTGGGTTTTCCTTAGATGGACATGCCTGAGCCATGACTGCGCTCAATCTATCCCACTCAGCCCCACAAGGGTCAGGAAGTCAGGAGGTCAGGATGATATCACATGAGCAAAAAGAAATTTACATCATTTATCCTAACCAAATACCCAACCGATTCTCCATTACATGAGTACTGCACATGTTTCTTTGCATGAACTTAAGCCAGGGCCAGGTCTGGTTGTATAAAAGAAAATTCAGTAAATCAGTGCCTTTCATTGTCTAAAGAAAAATAACGTAGGGCTGAGCTACTGGTTCAAGGATCAATCACCAAAGACTCACAGTCCTTCTACAATTTCCCACCATCCTATGTATGACTTCCATCCATCCTCAAATAATGCTGTGCTCCAAGAGAGTCCATGTATGTATGTATGTATGTATGTATGTATGTATGTATACATATATCCCTTCCAGGAAGAAAATACTTCCTCCTATCAGCTCGCTCAATTCCTTTTTAAGAAATTTTCAACAAAGTCTCATGAAACACCTGGCCTTATGTCTCATAGCCTTATGTCTATATTTTATAGGCAATTGTAAGAAGGAATAAGAAGTAAGCTTTCATAATCATCCCTAGAATATGTTGGAGCTCTCTGACCGAGGAAGAAGGCAAGGGGATGCAGCTAAGAAGATCTTCCTTTTAGTTCTATTGTAAAAAAGTATTCGGACATAAAGTGTATTATGGAGATGTAAATTTGATGCCTGAGAGCTAATGTCACATGGAACTATAGCTTAATAAAAAGGAGTATGTTTGAAGCCAGCCATGATAGTGTTTGCCTATATAGTCCCAGCACCCAGGAGACCAAGATAGGAAGGCTGCTGAGAGTTTGAGGCTAGCCTGGGCTACATAGAAAAACCCCATCTCAGAAACAACAAAAGAAATACTTTTCATAATTTGGAAAACACGGACTTGAAACACATTGCTATGAAAACACACTGCCAGTTCCAACCATAAATATGAGTAAGATGGCATGGTTGCGCATGCTTTTAATCCTAGCACTTGGGAGACAGAAGCAGGGGGTCTTGGAGTTTGAGGCCAGCCTGGTCTACAAAGTGATTTCCAGGACAGCCAGGGCTACACAGAGAAACCCTGCCCCCCCCCCAAAAAAAATGTGAATTGGGCTGAAGAGATGGCTCAGAGGTTAAGAGCACTGGCTGCACTTCCAGAGGTCCTGAGTTCAATATCCAATTCCCAGCAACCACATGGCTGCTCCCAGCCATCTATAACGGGGTCTGGTGTCCTCTTCTGCTGTGTAGGCATGAATGCTGGGAGAATACTGGGTACATAATGAATAATCTTTTAGAAACAAGTATGAGGTTTTGTTTTGAAGCATCTTACATATGTTTCAAAAATAGTTATTGCAAGTGAGTTTTTGTGTGTATATGTGTTCATGTATGCGTGCATACTGATGAACAAACCTGGGCTCAGCACAGACAACAGAAACACTCTACCACTGAATCCCACCCCGTGTCCAAGCCTCAGCTACTCATTTTTATTGCCATTGTTTTGAATGGAACAATCGGTTTTACCCTCACATTTCATACATTGCTCAAAAGAGAATTTCAGTTCCCTCCATGTGCAAACTGAGGAGTCAGACACATCTAGGCAGGATCAGCAGGGTGTGGAAGCTGGTTTGACGTGGGCATGACAGAGTAGCAGAACTGAAACTCTAAGGTTGAAAAAAAAAAAGAAGACAAAAACCCCCACCACAAGAGATTAGTAACAAGTTAAAAAGCCTTGTCAACACTGGGCTTTCCAGCTGAAGCCCCAGTGGCTGTCTCAACAATGACTCTTGTTTTAGCTTTACACACAGACCTACCCCCAAACACCTCTGATCGATCTCGGTGGAAATAAGAACAGGTAGCCTCCTGAGTGAGCATGTCTTCCAACAGTGCCACCTCATCCAGAGGAGTGACCTTACACAGTTCATTCAGACCTTTAACACATTTTCTCTTATACAAGTATTTGGAGCCATAGTGAGAATTAGGTACTGTCATTTAGGAAGCAGAGCTGGAGAGCTGAGACAGAGTTGATGGGGTCAAAACTTAATATAGTTACTATCTTGCCCTTGACTGGAAATACATGCAAAACTATTAATTATGCAAAGTTGATGTTTATGCACTCTTTATTAAGAACATAGTATATATCAAACACTATGCTTCTCTTTTCTGCCTAAGAAACTTTCAGACAAGTGAAAAAGACAAGTAATGAATAAAATGCTTGCAGATTAGTGTTACAGTAAGGATAAAAAGAAGTCTCACTGTGTGAGGGAGGGCTACAAGGGGTGGGCGAGCCTTTCTGATTAAAATAGTCTAAGTGATAGCGGATGGTTGTTAGGATTATACAGGTGACGTGTTAAAAGAAGCAGAAATGATAAAGCCCAATCACAAATGAAGGCACTTCAAACATATCAGAGATGAGTGAAGATGACCAAAGGTTTATTATTTTGAGATTTGTGTATATCTTATTTTATGTATATGCGTGTTTTATCTGTATAAACCTCTGTGCACAAGTGAATACAGAGGCCAGTAGAGGGTGTTGGATGCTTTGGGAACTGGAGTTGCAGCTTGTTGTTAGCCACCACTGAAAGGATGAGCATTGGCCCAGGACACCCCAACTAAGTTCTCAGCCAACAAGAAGATTTATGTACCTCAGAGGGACAGAGGGCAGGGGATAAGAGACAAAGACAGGAGACAGAGGACGAGGGAGAAGGGGAAGGGAACGAGGGAGAGGGGGAAGGGATGTTTGTCCTGGAGCAGGGACAAAGGACTGTCTCTGGATAGATAGGAGACAGATGTGGCCCATAGGAAAATGGTGCTTTATAAAGGTAAAAAAAAAAATCCCCGTATTAGGATGAGTTGGAGTTTGTTTTTGTTTTCATTTTTGTTTTTGTTTTGATTGGGCAGGTGAGCCAAAAGGGACTTTTGATGGCTGGATGTCAATACTTCAATAGTTGGACCTTGGTCGTCAGCGTCAGGAGGGAAAGTGGTCGAATAAGGGAACGGACCTAGGTGGCTGGCTTTTGAAATGCAGTCTATTGGTTTTTAGCAAGAAGCCAGAGCCATGCTCACCTTGTCAGCATTGGCCAAGGTCACCCACTAGGGTGCTGGGGACAGAACCTGGGTCCTCTGGAAGAGCATCCAGCACTTTGAACCACTGAGCCATCTCTCTAGTCTGATGATCAGAGGTTTAAAGATGTCTTGTCAGATTGATTACATGAGTACTGGACAGAAAACTATCATTAATTTACTAGCATAAAATAAGCCATAGAACCAGGAAAGGAAGCCACCAGTGTGTCTTGGAGGTAGAACACAAGAGGTCATTGCTTTTTGTTTTCATTATTCATTTTTGGTTCTTGGAGACAGGCTTTTTCATTGCTACAGCCCAGGTTAGCCCAAGGCTATCATTATGTAGTCCAGGCTGGTCTGGAACTCTTGCTCTGCCTCCTGAATGCTGGAATTCCATAACTACTGGTTATGGAAGTAATTGTTCAGGGAAGTTTAAATCAGTAAGACTGGCATAGAGGAAGGGGATGGTCAGAGTCCATGGGTGGGCAGACAGGGACACAAGCCGGTGAGACACTACAGTAGGAAGGTGATTGTCTTGACGGTCTTTTTTTGTGCTGGGACTCTATCCGGACTCACCTGCTGCCAGCAAGCTTCATCTCCTTTACAGGTGAAGATGGAATTACCTCCTTGATCAAGCTTTCCGAATCCATTTGCAGACAGCATCTGAAATGTTGGCGGAGGCTTAAAGCCTTTTATTCCAGGATTAGAGGGAAAGACTTAAAACATAAAATGCAAATGCTGATTGGGATTTAGCATTACCATTTATTCCCACCTAGTGCAATCAGATAATGACCCAAGAGGTATCATTGCATCCTTTCTGGTTTTAATTCATAGAGCTGGGGGCAGGGGAGTCTAATATCCTCTGTTTATGGACCAACTTGCCTACCCTCAAATGAAGATGGGGGGAGCTAAAAAAAAGTCTCTAGATCTAGAAAACACATGCTTCTTTTCTTTTTAGTTTATCTTGCTTTATAAAATCTATGTATTTAAAATAATTAGGTGAAATCGTTGTTATGAATGTATCCCTTTTAGGACAGGGCCTTGCCCCGGCTGCCCCAGCCCCTCGTTTTATTGCTGTTTGCTATGGATATTTAACTTTTTAAAAAATGGTTTTTGCTTGATCCTGCTATGCCAACAGAAATTCCTCTCTAGATCCAGAGTTGTAGAAATTTATTCTCACTGTACTGAAGTACGTGGCCAGAACCACTTGAGGGAGAAGGATGAATCTGGGTCTCCGTTTCAGGGGTCTTCAGATCCTCATCTTAGAGGAGGCCTGCAGAAATGATCTTAAGGCAACGGTTCCCACCCGAGGGTGATGCTTGAGCGGGTTATGGGACCTTTGGGGCTTAGCTGGCACAAGTGGGCCCATGATTACACCTGTCTCCCTTCTAGCCTAGCTGGAGGCTGTCTAGTTTGCTTAGGCTGGATCCAGTTTGTATCTTTTTGTCTCAGCCACACGAACAGCTGGCATCACCTTCCTGAACCAAGTCACCCAGTTTATAGTTAAATTTCATATACATTTTGAAGATTCTGGAAGGTTTGGGATGCACTGGAGTAAAACCGGTAGGAATAGATATAAAACCCAGCGCAGAGGATGGATACAGGTAAGGACAGAAGAGATGCTCTGTAGAGTCAGGGCGCGTGCCCGCGGGCTCACTCCTCAAGGAGGCAACTGAAAACTACATTTCCCAGAATGCCACGAGCAGACCGCAAGTACCTCGCCACCCCGCCTCGCCCGCGGTTCAGGCGCGCTCAGCTGAGCCGGGCACGAGCGAGCCGGCGGGCGGGCGAGCGCGTCCGCCGGGTGTCCGAGCGGGGTTGGCGCGGCGCCGGGGCGGAGCGGGTGTGGCGGCTCGGCCTGCGCGGTGGCCGCGGACAGAGGTAACCGCTGCGTCGTCCCGCGCGCGGGACTCAGCCTGGAGCGGCCACCCGCGCACGCGTCGGTGAGGTGCTGCCCGCCGGCGCCGGCGCCGGCGCCATCCCTCGGGGAACCGATGGGATCCGGGGCGGGCCTCGCGGACCGCGCTGCTCCGAGCGGCGGCGCAGGAGCTCGGGGTCCGGGGCGGGCGACTGGAGGGATGTCCCCCTCCTGGGGCTCCCGGGGCTGCTGCAAAATCCATACCCGGCCGGGCGGCGCCGCTCCAGGCTGAGCTCGTAGCTTTCTCCAGGGAGGGTCCCTGATTTGTGGACACAGTTTGAGATTTCCAGCCATCTCTCGGGCTTGCACGGCCCTGATGTTACGGTTTGGGAAGCTTGTTACCTTCTTTTTCCTCCAGGCAGTATCTATTATCATGCATTTCGTGGAGATCCTCTCGTTTTTGAATATTCCTGTTAACCTGCTTTAATTGCCTACCTTTATATTTTGCTTCTTACCTTAAGGTATTAGCGTAGGCGGATACTTTGGGCAAAAGGTCTTATTAGAACCTAGGTTGCCACAAGTAATTAACCTGCCAGGTGCACGTGGGTTTTTTTGTTTTGTTTTGTTTGTTTTTTTAAGGCTGTTTTTTTTCTCTTACATAAGTTAATTGTTTTCAGTCTTGTTTCTTCATCATTCGTGAGCCCTGGCCCTGCTAAGGGGCTGGTGGAGTACGTTTAGTTGAGCGGAGTGCTACCGGAGCCTGGGAATTGCATGCAGGTAGCTTTGGCATCAGCCTTTGCTTTTCTGCCTGCTTTCTCCTGGCACCTATTTTTTTGTTTGTCAGTCAAGCTGACTGACCTACTTAAAACTTTAATCATGTCGCCTTGAAAATACCAAATAGGAACACAAGTATAAAAAGAAGTCACAAGATGCTGTATTCAGCTGTATGCACTTGGATTTATATTCATTTGTTTATTTTCTACCCCTCCCCTCACCCCACCCTCATCTCCAGGGCCTTGTACATGCTGGGAGAACCATTGAATACATCCCCAGTCTGAATTTTTACATTTAAAACTATTCTTTTAGCACTGTTAGTGCTATTAATTTGTAACGTTATACATTCCTTAATAAGTTCCAAATCCTAATTTGAAGTCACAGCAAATAAAACTATATATATAATTTCCCCATTCCTTAACCTCCCGATGTTGAGTCCCTCGTGGGATCAGAACCTACACTGATGTCTCATCAGCTCCTAAAATTTTGTCCTTTACATGAGGGTTCAAGTAGCACTAGGAGTTGTGACAGTAACTCAGTTGATAGAGCGTTTGCCTAACCTGGGTTTCATGGCCCACACTGAGGGTGGGTACCTGTGATCCCAGTACTTAGGAAACAGGCAGGAGAGCCAGAAGTTCAAAGTCATCCTCAACTACACTGAGTTTGAGGCCTGCCTCGGCCCGATGAGACCCTGTCTCAAAATAACAGCAGCACAATCTAAACAAAAGGCCAAAAATGGGTATTTAAGCTTTCCCCTCCTTACTTTCCTCCCTCCCTCTCTTTTCTTTCAGTTTTTTTTGAAATAGGATTTTTCTATATAGCCTTGGCTGTCCTAGAACTAGCTAGCTCTATAGACCAGGCTGGCCATGAACTCACAGGAGAGATCCTGCATCTACCACCCGAGTCAGCACTGGCGTGTGCTACCACCACCCAACTGAAGCTTTCCGTTTCTTACATTTGAATTTTCGAAAAATTACTTATTTCTGTATATGAAGTGTTAAAAACATGAGCAGGAACAAATGTTACATAAAAAACAAAAAGCCATGTTTTTGAATGGTAGGCTTTTTAGTATAATTGCATTTTTCTCTGGAAAAAGTTTTATATTTAGTAATGAAGCAAGAGGAAATTGGATACTTAAATATTTTAATTAAAAAAACATTTTTGGAGTGCTGGAGATCAAACTCAGTTGACTAAAATACAATAATTACTGTTTACTGCTTCGGTGGCCAACATCTCCTGTGTGGTTGGCCAGTCTGTTTGCTCTGCTCTGAGGAGGTATAATAGTGGACTGAGCTCACGTCTGCAATTAGTTCTGGGTTAAAATCCCTGCTCTCCACTCATTGGCTGTTTAATCATGGCAAGTTGTTATCTGAACCTGTTTCCTTAGCTGGGGAAGAGGGATAAAAATACCGTCTGTCCCATCTTCCTGGAATTGTGAGGATTAGTCGTTACTGTATGTGGGGGCATTTTACACTGCATACTCTTCCAGCGGGAGTTCAGTTTCCTCCCTGGTGGCCAGTTCAGTGTAAACATTGTTGCCTTTACTTTGTTGCTTTGTTGCTGAGAGGCTGGTTGTACACAAGTATTACTTGACTGTGTCGCTGCCTCATTATTTGCTTATGATTTATTTAATTGGTCCCTGCAAACTAGAGCTATAATTATGAAGGACTGGCGACACCTTGGGAACTTTCCCTTGTCTCTGAACTCTGGTCTTCCAGGAGTCTTAAGAATGAATTCTGTGTCTGTCTGTGTTTGCTGGAGAGTAGACCAGATTCAACAGATTCTCACTCAAAGGGGGTTTGAAGTCCTCTTCCTCTCAAAGGTTCTTTTCTGTTATTTTGTTGTATTTTTGAGACAAAATATTGCTATGTAGCCTGAGATGATTCTAAACTTCATATCCTCCTGCCTCAGTTTCCCAAGTCCCTGGGATTACAGGTGCTTACAACCACACCTCATAAAGTGACTGCAATTGGCGAGAGTGTTGACTGTTGAATTTGGGGCTTTGGGCAGATAAGCCCTGTGCTGTCAAGCTACACTACACTTGCAGATTTTTTTTTAAAATGGGAGTGAGGTGGTAGAGAAGAGAAAAGCAGATGTTTGAAGCACATGTGATGCCCCCCAGAGTGGAAGGTAGTGTTGGTGATGGAGTGCTGCCTTCTGGAGGCAAGACCAGGTCAGCCATCACTATCAGTACAGACTGTCTATTCCTACCTTGTCTGCCACTTTAGATGGGCATTAGAGTAGATGATCCAGTACTGTATTACAGCCCAGCATGTTTGAATATTATCTTAAATGCTAAAAGATAATGTGATTTATTAAAATTTGGACATTCTTGTTCTCAGAATGCCAAATGTTAAGAAAATTATTTTGCTTTTCACGGTAGATATTTATGTGGCATACTTATAATTATGCAATATTTAAATAATTAAATTTATTTAATTATGCAATGTTTAAATAATCAAGAGCAAATTTTTATTAAATCCTAATTGATGACTACTTTGACACTTAGGATTGTTGGTTTGAAAAGAACATACGATGTATGATTTACAGAAAAATGTAACTGTCTTACATAGATCTAGTACTAGATTGTAATTTATGGTTTTAGTTTGTTACAGTTTAAATTAATCTTGGGAATTCTAGCATTACTATATTTCTAAGTTTGAATTCATTCTTACAGCAGAGTTTAGAAGCAACTACATCTAAATGTACCATTTCCTGGGGTAGACAGAGAGCTGGGCTTTGCACGGCTTTACCATGGGGAGCAGTCCATGGAGGGAGACTATGGGGGATCATGATGCTATACAGACTTATGAATGATACTCTCCACAGGGTAACATCTTTTCTCTTGAGCTTCCCCTTTGATATTGGGCAGATTTATTGGCATCTGAATCCTTTACGCAGCTGAAGAATCGTAGTCTTGCAGTACTCGAGAGCTTGTGCAGCAATGAGCAGAGCTGCTGCTCTGCAGACTGGAGCTGCTCTGCAGACTGGCTTCTCATAAATATAGTCTGAGAGCAGACACCACACAAGAGGGCAGTGCTGGTGTTTGTGGAGAGCTTCGTGTATATAAGATCCCTCCACTGCTTCATTTTAATGAAGAATTATTTACTTCAGTTGTGAGAGTTTGAGTTAAATTAGCTGTGTGTAAAAAAACAAATGGTCATCATCTTAGAAAACAGAAATCCTGATAGGAATACTACTATTTTAAGATCAGTGATCTTCATGGATGCTCTCCTACTTTGGAGCTCTAAGAAGTTGGAAAGTATTTGTTGAGTGGAGAGAACGTTATTGATACTATTTTGGTGTTCATTAAGACATGTATAGGCACTGCTACAGAGTTAGGCCCAGTGCCATATCTGGATAGTCATGAGGTTTGGGCTTTGTCATCAGGCTGACTAATGTTGACTCCTAGGCACTCCTGCCTTGAACCTATAGCAAATTCGACCTTGAACTGGTAATTCTCCTGTCATAGCCTCTTGGGTGTTAGAGTATAAGATCATCCTACTGTGCCTGACTCTGGTTCTTTTGCAACAGTTTTTCTGAGTCATTTGTTTTTCTGGGTCCGTCTAAACTAGAGGATCTGGTGTGGGTAAGTGTTCTTTAACATGACTGATTTACTTTGGTGACTGATTCATACCGCTCTTGCATATGTGTTAGTGGTAAAGCATAACCAGAGTCTCTCTCCTTGAGCACCAGGAATTAGAGCTTCTCAAAGTATTTGTGCTCAGAGACCCAGTAGGACAGTGTTTTTTATAAAAGACATGGAAATGAAAATAAAAGGGCACATAGCTATGGCTGATTAGTAAGTAAATATAAAAGTGTTCTTCTAAGTATCAGTTTACCATAGAGACTTCTAAAGATTCCATCTTTAAACTTACATGGCTTACATCATTACCAACCACAGAGTCTGCATTTTCTGTTCATTTTTGCATCCTCAGAATCCTCAGTACAACCGGTGATGACTGGTTGATGGATTGAATGGTAGTGTGTGGTTATAAACCCATGTGGTGACTGTGTGGCATCAGTATGTTTGTTTTATTGTATGTGTGTTCAAACTAAATTTGTTTTGTGTGTGCATGTGGTAAAAATTAAAAAGCTTTCAGATGCCTATGTCCTTTGTGGGCACATATGTTATTCAGCTTTCTGTTACTATAACAGAATCGTGATGATAGTTCATAAGAAGAAAGGGCAGCTTTTGGCTGCCAGTGTTTGAGGTTCTAGGTCATTAGTTTAGTTGGCTCATTGCTTT